TTCTGAGTTTGTCAGATAAACCACCAATTATAATTATTCCAGAAACAAAGCTGTCTGTAACATTTAATTCAGTCCTCATAAAAATAAAGTGATTTCGTTGAAAATGTAAATCATGCAGCTTTATTTATATTTTGTCCTCATTTGAACTAATATGAAATGGTTAAAGCTGTTGTAACGAATCTACAGAACAAGCTAGGTTTTGAATGCAAACACTCACTTCACCGCTCGGGTATCATCCCTGATACGCTTCTGCCGGGGCCCGAAACTCACATTGCGAGAAGAAACCAGATGGTGCTAAACACCAGTCATCATTTTCTATGTCCGTGACTTCAACTGGTGTTTTTCTCATGGGACTCTGGTAGTTTTTCCTAAAGTTGAAGTGGTAGCATCCAATCTACTTAAGTAGGACATTTTTGTACTCTTTCCACCTCTGGTAATCCGTGGTGATTCGGTGAGGCCAACAACCGGCTGGTCCCATAGAGCTCCGGACGTCACGTGACTCTCAAGAGAGTAGACAACTTGTTGTCAGGCAAAAAAGGTCAACAAAATTAATGGGATTGGCTTGGATTTTACTCCGTCTGAGTTTACTTCACACTTTAAAACTAAAGAAATCATTTTATAAAGTCAGAAATTAAATAGACTAAACATCTCTGACCTTTACCATGCTCCTGGAATACTTTCTAAAACACCAGAAGCTGTCGGAGCAAACCTCTTACCGGATTTGACATACCCTGACATTCATAATTTCCTTTCTAATTTTCCCTCGTTCTACTCTGGAGCATCGCTAAGAGCATATAAAAACCTGGAGGGATACAACTGGACTCAATCAGGGTTTGTTGTCGGTATCCAGATCTGGATTCTTCCTGCAAAGGACAGCGCTGTTGTCACCGGGAGGGTAAGTGGAGATTTTTGTTACCATTAGCAACAGCCCGTTGCAAGGATATCTCTGTGTGAAACATCGTGTGTGTAGCAGAGGCAAATTGATGATTTTATCTGTAATGACCAGGAAGATGGAGTGTTCTATATAAATATAAAATATTAACCTGCAAGGTCTTTGATGTAATTATTCAGAAGATTCTAGGATTCAATTCAGAAGATCTAGGTTCTTTGCTTTTTCAGTGATCAACCACACTTCGAGTTACTTCAAGAAAGAGTCAAGTTTATAAAAGTAAGAATTTATTTTACAAACAACTTAAAACATGACTAATTAATTAAGCATTTACTGCGAGTGGATCTAACTAAATGTGAGGAAGAAACCTATGTGTGAATGAAATGTCAGTCAGAGCTTCCTTATCAAAATAAGCTGAGTTCTGATGAAAAGAATTTGGTTTGCTATAAACTATGAAGTTGTTATCATCAGAAGAACATTCAGACGCAATCTGTCATGCCTACTTCATCCGTTTTGGAGAGACCCTCTTAGTGGATCCGAAAGTCACAGGGTTGGCTGTCCGCTGGCACCGGAGGGCTGTAGAATACCGTGGTACCAACTCTTCAGTCCAGAGATGTCTCGGGTCACAACAGCTGGATGGAACCGTGCGTCTGGCGGACTCTTAAGGAGTCTAATAATCTTACCTTTGTTTATGCAGGAAGGTGCAAAAAGGTTTTGACGACGTGTCAAAATCTTTGATGGTTAAAGAGGTTTTGCTACAGATGGCCGGTCTGAGCGATTCTCTAGAACTCTCGAATCTCTCAGAATGATCCAGTTTTAAGGTTTAGCTGTTATTATTTGCACAGCCAATCAGAGGCTGACAGGTTTGAGAGATGTTACCAAGACAACTCAGAAACACACCTTCTTGGTACAGGATGTTCTGACTAGGTTAACACTGTGTGTGTCAGGGTTTAACTTAGCCGTACTTGTTATGTGTGGGTGCAGGTGTGGGACTTTGTCGTCAAAACATGGTGAACACATGGCAGGTTCTAGTAGACAACATAACATCCATTCAGTGTGCACAGATTAATGAAGCATTTCATTCTACTTTAATTATAATAAGTAGTAATAAACAAATGTTTATTTAATGATTATCTAGATTATAAGTCATAGAATAAGTTCATATTGATTTATTAAATCATTCTTGAATTTAACAACTGATTCGAGCTGGAGTTGGAGTCTTCTGTGGAGGCAGACAGATGGGACCTTGGGGAAAGAAAGTTATTGTTTATCTTTCAGACTTGTGAGTCTGTGATGCCCAGCTGGTGTGAAGGAACACATTTAAAAGGAACACAGGCAATGTTGTGTCTCCTTTCTGACCAGATGTTGAATAGATGGTGAAAGGTACCTGCACTGACCATTGCTGGACACTACGTGTGTTCATAAACCTCAGAAAAATAACTTCAGTATTTTCTTAAAACATAGTTGTGAAACAGAACTGCCAACTTGCATCACTTAACTCTTTAGATGCCAAAGGTGCAAATTCCGACAAGCAACATTTCTGACTGTAACGAGCCACAGTTGCAGATTTGATCACTCATTCTGCCAGGAGATGGCAGACATATGTAACTTCAATCTAAGGCACCTTTAATGTGTGTTATCATGTCAAATGCTGAAGTAAATACAGTTTGAAATTATTAATTTTAAAAGTGTCCTTACAAATTAAATAAACATATTCCTACCAGCTTCTAAAAAATATGATCCAACTTTTGTAGCGTTCCGGACCTTGGGGAATCCTGTAGAAGGCTCTTCCCTTATCTTGTCCACGTCTGTTCTGGCATCCTGTGGCACAACAGGAATCTACCATATTTCCAGTTTGATTGTTTTTTCTGACAATAACAAATAACCTAGCTGCGGGCTACTGCCTGCCAAGATGGCGCCATTCGATTTGAACTGTTGCATGCCGGGAGAAGTGACGTCAACTCCCGGAGCTCTATTCGCTTTTGGTCTCAAATGTGCTATTGGCGAAGGTTCTTAAACAAATATGAGAGAACCAATTCAATTTTTTTTAATCTCCACAATATGTTTATAGCCGTACGGTGTTATTACAATGAAGGATGGAAAAATGTGTTTTAAGCTCATGTGTTTTCCATCTTTGCTGTTGCAGCTTTAAGTTATTTATTTTTTAACCATATCCTGTCCGGCTGTGAAGCAATCAGAATTAATGTCTGAATGCAGAAGACAAGACTTCGTTTTTCTCTCACAGGTGGAGCGTTCTAGCTCCTGCTATGATGCTACTTCTGATACCAAAACTTTATTAGAAATGTTTTTGGTTGTTTTTAAATACCAACGGAAATGGAGACAGAAGTGTAAGAGAAAGGGGGAGAGAGGGGGAGGGGGGGGGGGGTTCACAAAAATAAACAATAATGAAGAGACTGCTTCTAGATCTGCAGAAGAGAAAGAGAGGAAAAACGGACACACAAAAACATAACAAGTCCAAATATGACTGCACCATCAACATGAGGATATATAAAAGTAACTATTTTTGCTGAGAAACACACGGAAATAATTCATAGTGCATTTAGTGCCAACCACAACCACCACACTGGTGATGTGCTGAAAATGCCCAAGGGCATCCTTGTGAGAGCACCTTGTGAGCACCTGTGTGCATACACGTGCTTGTGTATGTAAGGTTTCTCTATAGGAGCGTCCAATAGTGAGTCTGAGGGGTCACAGACCTGTCCCCAAAGATGTGTGGAAGATGGAGTTCCAAGCCCTAGAGATCCATGGGTTTTCCTGAAGCACGGGGACCCCATGGAGACAGCCACCAGGTAAGCCCCAACCCCCCTCCCTAGGAGTGTAGAGGATTACCCCGGGGGGTGCAAGAGCCTTGGGAGATAACATAGGCAAGACCCAGTCCCACCCGCAGCCGCCCACCCCGAGCTTGGAACGCAGCTGCCCGGAACCCAAGAGCGGCCAACCCCGCCGGGGACCCAACAGAATCCGGGGGCGAGCAAACGTTGCTTGGTTTGAACTCCAATTGAACAGATTAATTAGAAAATTGTTTTCTTGTGACAAAAATATTATGTAAATGTCAAAAAACTTTAACCTTTATCTATATAGCACCTTTGTTACAAAAAGTGACATAAAATGACATTTAAAAACATTTAAAAGATCAGACAAAAGCAACCCCCATTAACAAGACTCCACCAGGAAAAGCCATTGAATAAAAGTGCGTTTTCAGTCGGAGTGAGGGGGCCTGTTTGACACCTGCAGGCAGCTCATTCCAGAGCTTCGACCCCAGTGTTGAAAAGGCACGACCCGTTTGTGGTATGAGTCTGTGCTCGGGCACGACCAACAGTCCCTGCTCCGCTGACCGAAGGGGCTTTGATGGAATGCAATGATGGATCAGATCTGATAGATATCGTGGAGCCAACTTGTTTAAACATCTAAAAACCAACACCAGAACCTTAAATTAAATCCTCAAAGAGACCGGAGGATGCTTAGATAGAAGTGATGAGCTAAGACCTCCTGGTACTGGTCAGTAACCAGGCCACCGCATTCTGAACCAACTAAAATTTTGCTATAGCTGCCTGCTTGATGCCTGCATAAAGCAAATTACAGTAGTCCAGCCTGGTAGTAATGAAGGCATGGATGACAAGAAAAATAAGACTTTTACTTTCTTGAAAATGTGTTTTATTATTTTTTGGTTTTTGTAATGTTGCCACATGCTGACATTTCTGTTGTGAAGCAAATTAAATATTTTCAAATGGATTGTTACATGGCATTAAGAACACCTTAAGGAAAAAAATTTAGTGTTATTTTGCAAGCTAATTGAGTACTTAATACATTTATTTAGCCCTTAATCATCAACTGTTAGCACTGTAACCTTGACCTCACCGATAAGTGCATTTGCTGAAATCCCAACTCTTTATTGTGAAATTTTCCTCTTTGCACAAGTTTCTGGTGTCATTTTGTGGTCAGCTGACTCAGTTAGACGATGACTCTAACGAAGAGCAAATCACAGCCAAGAACAAGCTAATTCATCAGATCAGAACCTCAGAATGGAAACCATTTTAACATTTATCACGTGTCTGCAGCACAGAAGAAGCAAAAGCATATGGAGAATGTGTAGATGGTTTTTACATTTATTTAACCGCAGCTGAAACATAAACAGCTTAAATCAGTTTAACACATTCAGGTTGTTTTATGTTCACTTCAACAGTTTTAAGATTTTGTGAAACACAGAATTAGCTCCGTTTTTAGACAGATTTCATAAATGTGCTCCAGATGCTCCAACAGCTACATGACCTGCCGGGTGAAGGCAGGCCTGCAGCAGGAAGCAGAAGGTCAGATTTTGACTGATGGAAAGTGAAAGCTATGCTATCAGAGAGCAGCAGAAGAGAGTCCCCCGTCGACAGAAGCCTCGGGCTTTACTGAGAATGAGCCAGAGCTCCGGCACCCTGACCAAAGCCAAAACCCTTAGGACCAAAGTTCTTTGCATAGCAACCTGTGAAAGACATTAAAAAGGATTATAAAGTTATCGGCTTAAATTCTACCAATAATAAACAACAATTACACTCTTGTACTTTATTATGTTGCCTTTTCATGTTGAAAACTCAGCTTTATAATCAGAACTACATCAGGACTTGGTAGACATCAAACCAAAGACACACACACACACACACACACACACACACACACACACACACACACACACACACACACACACACACACACACACACACACACACACACACACACACACACACACACACACACACACACACACACACACACACACACACACACACACACACACACACACACACACACACACACACACACACACACACACACACACACACACACACACACACACACACACACACACACACACACACACACACACACACACACACACACACACACACACACACACACACACACACACACACACACACACACACACACACACACACACACACACACACACACACACACACACACACACACACACACACACACACACACACACACACACACACACACACACCTTTACAGTAGATCTCCCCATCCCTGTCAGCGAGGGTGGTGGACTCCAGGCCTTTACCACATTTGGCACAACGAAAGCAGCCCTTGTGCCACGACTGATGAAGGGTGAAGAATAGTTTTAGAATGGAAGTAATGACACCACCATGATGAAATAGTACAGAGTTCAGTGAGTAGTTGGGCAACAGTGGCAGGAGTTGAGTTAGAGCTGTGACAGAGAAAAACTACAAAGATGACTTCGTTTGAAAGGGCTTTGAGGCATGAGCATATAGGAGGTACTCAAGTTATTTCAAAATGTACTTGCTTAGTCAGCGGTGTACAGCAGACCACCCTGTTGACTGACATCCATAGCAATGAGTACGTCACATTGTTTGTTGCTCTGATTGGTCCTGGTGCTGTATTTTCACATATGTGCATTCGTGTGAAATAGTTTCACCGTCTATTTTTCAGAAGCTCAATGCAGGAGATAGGTGTAGGAGACAATTCACACGTTCAGCTTGCATGAAAACTCATGCCTGATTTTAATTTGGGAATATTATATATAGTTTTTCAGTAAACCACACCTTAAAAGTTCTTAAAGACTGGATACCAGCCCAGGTGCTGAATACTCCTGCCCTACAGGGTCATCTGGTAGAGAGCAGAATCCGTGGTTTTATCAATACAGCGTGTGGCCCAGGTCCTGAAGCATCAGAGCAGCTCCAGACCAGAATAACACCACCACCTTTATGTTGGTTTGATGTTCTGTTTCTGAAATGCAGGGTTGGTTTCATCCCAGACGTAAGAAGGTTGTTCATTCAAGCAGGCTAACACGATTAGAAAGTTGCAAAGATAACAAACATCTGTAATGAGGCAAATAACCTTTTCACATCATGATGTATACGAACATATCAGTGCCCCACTTTCACGTCTCATCTCAAAATAGTCCAGGAGAAAATAAAAAAATGGGAATTTTCTTACATTTCCTCCTCCAACCACCTTCTCCGCTGCATACACCGTTTTCCCACACCTGGGACACACATCTGAGCCTCCCGCTTTCTGGGCAAACTTGGAGGCATTGGGATTATTTGTAGGACGATGAGGAGCTGGACTGTCAAGAATGATAATGTTTCTAAATGAATGTTTGTTTCAGAAGTAAAATCCAAAAACAAACAGCAGCTTAAGACTATTTACAATGTCCCGCCATCTACTTTATTCAGATCAGTAAATTTGATCCTCACGCTTCAGGCTTGATCCCAAGTCCTTCTCCTGTGTCCATGCTCAGTGTGCCAGCTCCACCTCCAAAGCCATAGCCTTTTGGCCCATACTTCTTGCCATAGCATGATTTACAATAGATTTCATCCCCATGAACAGCCACCGTTGTGCTGTCCAAGTTCTTCTTGCAGACCACTTCCAAAGACAAAGAATGAAAATGAACCAGTCACTCTTTTAGCATGATCGTTCGATGCATTTATCACAGAACGAAGTGTGATGCTTGCATAACAGACCACCACCACCATACTGGACTTAGCACATTCAAATGATTCCTTATCAGGTCTGAAAGAGGAGTGTGTGTGCCACCTTCCTCTGCCATATTAGGAAGAACATTACTATTGTCATGTTTACTTGGGATCCATATAAGGCCCTGAGTAAAACTTGCAGACGCTCACATCCCTACGCGCGTGCCACATTCCCAGCATTCCTTAGTCATATTTTGTGAGTTTGAAAGTGAGTAAGTGCTAATGAAAATCAGCAAAGAATGTCAGAACTTACTGCAAAGAAAACAGGATTTGTGCCAGCTCTTCCCCTCACACTGCACCTCCTCGGCAAAATAGACAGTTTTCTGGCAGCAGCCGCACTTGTTTCCTCCTCCGAAAGGCATTCTGCAAACACAGGACAGCAGGTTGTATACATTCCTTACTCGTTGTGTATCTCAGGCTTTGTGTCGTCAGGAGACAGACATCTTGATGCAGTAACATCTATAAAAGGACAAGTCTCATGTTATGGTTCCCTTTCTTTTCTTCCAGTTCAGCCTGCAGTAGATGTTCAGAAACTTTATGCAAAGCAGCTTCCAGCGTGACGGATTATCGCACCAAACCAGTTGAGATATTGTTTTTTTTTTTCAGCGTTTTTAACTGATGGTGACATTGTGAGAAGAGAGGCCAGAGGCAGTTCTCCTGGATCCATATATTTGGACTTCTAAACATGCTTAAAAAAATAAATAAAATGTCCTGATTACTTAAAAATTCAGTTTTAAATGATGTGTGAAGCTCACCTGCAACTGTTATACAGCTGACCTCCACTCTCTCGTTTTCCTGATGAAGTCTTTAAAAACACGGACCTCTTGCCTTAGCCCACTTCTTTACAGAAAAGCAAAAACACCAACTTTTTCAAATATATTATAACCCTAATACTGACAGTTATGTCAGTAGCAATGCTTTTAGAGGGTCCGGTTGAGTTCTCAGAATAAAAACATCTTAATCACAAGGGGAAAGTTTATTTTCTGAGTGTTGAAACAGGTTTTTACTCACCTGTCCTGAAGTCAAAGGCTTTACCAGCTCTTTAAGGAAGCGAGAAGAGATGTCTTTGATGCCGAGAAGACGAGAGAAGCTGTGAGGACACCCGGCTCCGAGAAGACGAGAGAAGCTGTGAGGACACCCGGCTCCAACCGAGGGTGGAGTCAGAGAGGAGCAGGGAGAAGATGATGATGGGGAGGGCAGGGCACAAAGATCCGGGCCTTAGAATGCTCTTGTTGAGCGTGACCACTAGATTTAAATGTTTACAGAAACAAGTTTAACTCGAAGATTCAGTGGTATTCAGTAGCAATCAGGAGTTTTTCCTCTGAAATGACTCAATCCTGAGAAGTATGTCCGCTTTCCCGCCCTTGCAGCGGTTGTCTAGTGGGCGGGCCCTTCCTCCTGTGAGAAGACACTCATCAGCTGATTAACCCTAACCCTCACCTGCTCCTGGGCCTGACTGACCTTTATTGTTGCAATGATCAACCTCCTGAGATTCCTTGCTGATTAATATTTATATTTTTTTTCTATCGGCAGTTGATCTGATATTTTTCTGTTGACTGTTTAATTCGACATTCCATCTCTTCCCTGGATTTCTTACTTATTCATCTCTCATCACACCTCTGCTCTTCCTGGAATACTCAAGGATCTTCTCACCCAGCCGCATGTCCATGGGCCCTCCTGACATCTGGAGACTCTGCCTGACCTCTAGTTGTTTTCCTGCTTCAACACACCTGATTTCAATCAGCAGGTGATTAACAGGCTTCTCTGTGCTTCATGAGCTGCTGAACAGGGTGTACATCAGGCTGTGAGCTTGAACTCTGTTGAGAGTGAACTGTTGGGGCAGCAATCTGCCTCCGAGGCGTCCAACCTGCCCTTCCTCAAAGACGAAGAAAAAACAGAAAACAGTCATTACACTGACTCTCAGCCAGCAAATTCTTATTTCTGAATTTTTTTTTTTTTGGAGGGCTGGTGTCCAGCATGTTCCAGTTGTTCAATTCAGTGGTTGATTCACCTGTTCAGCAGCTCATCAGGTGCTGCAGAAGCCTGTTAATCACCTGGGGCCTCATTTATGAAGCTTGCTTACGCACAAAACGGGGTCGGAAAACTGCGTAAGCAACTTTCCACGCAAACTTTGGGATTTATGAAAGAAAACTTAGTGGAAAAATGTGCGCAACTTTGAGTTGACTAAGAACCTGGCTTACGCACACGTGGGACATGGAGAGCACCTGCAGTGCTGCTGCTGAGAAGGATAAAATATGAAATCCAGCAGCATTGTCACTTGTACTGCTTTGTGCACACACAGAACAAGCAACCCCCCCCCCCCCCCCCCCACACACACACACACACACAGCCTGAAGAGCAGAATAGGGAATGCTGAATATCAGCAGGGGGCAGAATGAGACAGAATGTCATGCGTCTGTGACAGTGTGAGCGTCCTGTCACTGTGACCCCACTGGTCATGCACCCTGGCTACTTGGTGAAGATAGATCTTCGTTTGGCTGAATGGTTAGCGCGCGTGACTTGCACCCAAGATTCTGGGGATTGAATCTCGATTGTACCTTTTTTTTAATATCCGCCACAGATCTCTGAAGACGTCACAGCATTGACGGCTTCAGCAACGCTGTGCCACTCCATGAACTTTCTCTTATTTGTTTTGCAAAAACACTTCCTTTCATTTCTCCACCTCACCCACAAGTACCTGAATTTCTGCTTGTGAAATAGCCAGGGGTGGAAAGAGTACTAAAATTTCCTACTTAAGTACGAGTACCAGTACTTTGATAATGTTTTACTCAAGTACAAGTAAAAGTACTTGCCGAAATTTTTACTCAAGTAAAAGTAAAAAGTATTGTAAATAAAATGTACTCAAAGTAAAAGTTACTTAGTTACATTTTTGTCAGCGTAAAGATGGTTACATCAGTGCAAAACCACACAGTTTGATGGTGGGATTTCTACCCAATCAGTGAGAACAGGACGTGCACATTGATTGGACGAGGTTTTTCTAGGATTGTACCTTTCTCGTTAGTCTCTGATTTATGAAGCGGAGATTGCCTGCAGCAGTGCGTACTCCTGTCATGGTCTGCGTCTGCCCCCTCCTTTATGTGTCTCCTGATGTTTCTCCATCCTCTCTAGTTTCCCTTCTGTGTCTCATAGCGCCCTCATGTGTCCTTTGTCTGCATCTCAATATTGTGTCTTCTGTTTGTAGGCCTTTTTATCATTCCCCCAGGTCCGGTGCTCATTTAGTTATCCTCTGCCCCTCCAGTTGCAGCTCCAGCCTCTTGTTCCCCAGCCAAGTTTATGTGTGTGTGAGTTATTTATGTCTCTCTCTGTGTGTGTGTGTGTGTGTTAGTCCTTCCTGCAGCCTTTTAGTTTGGATTTGTAGTTTTAGGTTTATCTGTCCTCCTTTGGTTCTGTTTCCCCATTTAGGTAGTTATTGTCACCTGCCTTCCCTCCAGCCCTCACTCCACACACCTGCTCCTCGTCTCCTATCACTCCAGCCCCAGTGTATAAAGCCTCTCCTTGTCTCATTGTTCTTGTCGGTCCATTGTTTGTAGTTCTGTCCGTCTTGTTTCTCTGTTTATAAACCAGAGTTTTTGGATTTCCAGATCTTTATCCGGTGTTTGGATTTTGGCTCACAGCCTTGGATTTACTTTGTTTTTGGCGCTCCTTTTAAATAAAGGATTTTACATAACCTTCATCCCTGCCTCGTGTCATCCTGGGTACTGCATATTTGGGTCCTCCAACACCATATCGTGACAACTCCATGTTTGATAGATCACAAACCTACTTGGCGTACGTACATTTTTTTTGCTGAGCTTAAATACGGTTTTAGTAAGGATTCTACGCAATGTTTGATAAATGAGACCCCTGTTCCCTCTTTAGTGGAAAATGTTGTACATGTCCTGTCATCTTTCTTTGTCTGCATTCCATCGAGGTCCAGAAAGTCTGTCTATTGGATTTTTGAGAATGATTTATTGTGCTTTGTTATTCAGTCAAAAATATATTAAAATGCACTTTCTGCACTCTAGAAATGCAGAATTAAAATGAAGCCAGTAGGGCAACAGTCGGCAGACAGAAAAGCTGCCTGCCTCCCTCCCCGAGCCCCGCAGACTCTTCACCATCATCGGAAGAGACAATGATGAACTCAAGAAGCCTATTTATAGCCTGCGATGGACAACACTAGCCCTCTGTCGCTGCTTTGTGGACATCCGCCTGGGTTAGCTGTGTGTGTGTGTGTGTGTGTGTGTGTGTGTGTGTGTGTGTGTGTGTGTGTGTGTGTGTGTGTGTGTGTGTGTGTGTGTTTACCCACATGACACAAAGCAAGAGAGGGGTGGACTTGGAAACTCGGCTGAATAATCCAGAGGAAACGAGAATATTGGAGGCAGAGGAAGATAAGAGGCTGAGTTGTGTTTCATCCATCTGTGAATGGAGGAGATGATTTCTTTTCTTGTTGTTGCAACGTTTGACCTGACTTTGAGCCAGAATTCATCTGTTAGCAGGTCCTTTTTTGGCTACATTTGTTACAGAAGTTTTGCCAAGTCACCAGGTGAGATGGAGCTGCAGGAGGTAGGCATGGAAGTTCACTCACATGGGGATTGGGATTGTTCGCTTCACTGTAATTTAATGTTAAATCAACTGTGGCTGAAATGCATTCTTAGGTTTATGCTACTTTGGTTTATTTCTGCAGATATAATTTAAGTCATTTCACTTTTTACTTCTTGCTTCCACGTATGTGTTTTTGAATAAATGGGAGTCATCCTCTTCAGCCTGATGAAGCTTTAAATCTCCCAGTGAATCAGTGAATGCTGATTTTGATGACAAAACTACAAAATATTTTAAAAAGTAATAGCAAATGGTGCCTTCAATATGTTATGTTGCCTACGCATTTTATTTAGCAGGAAATGCATGCAATATGTTTGCATCTCAATGTGGGAAAGGAAAGAATTGCATCTACAGCAGGGTTATTCTGGCAGGATGTCGGTAGTGAACGGCCCTCTGTCTTGATTCAAGCAGTTTAATCCAATCAGAAAACGCTCTTCTGCACAGGAAGAGGCCAGAATGAGAAGTGAAAGGATGCAGTTTCATACACTTGTCACTAGAGGTCAGATCTGGTCTAGAAGTGGGCAGTTTTGGTGAGGAGACACACCCTGTTTCCTGGTTCCTCTGTGTTGTGGTGTGTTCTACTCCCTGTAAGCTCTGCCGATGCAAACCGAGAAAATAATTATTATCTGAAGCAGAATGAGAAAGTATCAGAGTGTGAAGATTACAGTTGATAAGCTGCGAAGGATCAGGCCTGTTTTATCGTTCAGTTCACTCATGTTCCTCTGGATCAGCTGATCCTTTATCTCGACACCTTTAATTAAACATGGATTGTGTTCAGTCCCATGTGGCAGATCATATGATTTAAAACAGTTTGTTTCAAGGTCAGGCTGAAGATGTGTGAAGAGTGGATTTCTTACACATTTGGTTTGGGTCACATATCTTGACTGTGAACCCCGAGTATCCGAATCAGCACAGTTCTAACGTCTGAAAGTCTGTAATTAATTCTGATGAGTTTTAGTGATTTTGCTGAGCAATTTGACTTCTAACACAAGAAATTGAGTCAAAGTGCTGCAGTGTATTGCTTTACGTAATACTTCAGACCAACACGTGTATATTTCAAACAAATATACTGTGGCCTGAGAAAAAACAATTCAGAGCATTGAGGCTGATTTTGCGGAGAGATTTGGAAATACGCTTTGTGGTGGATTTTCTCTGAGACGAAAGTAAAAGAATCAAACATGGTGGTGGCAGTATGATGGTCTGGCACTGCAATGCTGCTTCAAGACCTGGACCACTTGCCATAAATGAACTATGAACGCTGCTCTATCAGAAATTCCTGAAGCAGAATGTTTCACTAACAGATTGTTCGCGCTGGAAAATTCTCCTGAGTGGCTTTGAAATAATTCTTTGAAGTGGAACAAAATGCCTCCATGGCACTGGAAGAAGCGTATTAGGAGGTTAAAGAGCAGGTTCACTGAGAAACTCCTTTTTTCTTTTATGTATTGTTTTTGAAAATAATGGGTTACTTTGAGTTCTTCATGCAGGCTGAACATGAAAATAGTCTCCTAC